ATGAATGGCTTTCTTCCCCTTCCTCCCCACAATTTTTGATGTTTGATGAACTGTACTAAATCCTGTTTCATCTGCATTAAATATTTGCTGGGGTTTTGACTTTATATTGAGTCTATCCATAAGATCTCCTAGCTTGGTAAAATGGTCTGAAATTACATTTGGATTAAGCATAGTACCACGAGCAGCACTTAGACCTTCAGGTTTACGGAGAGATAAGCATGGGTGCCGGTCTCGAAATCCCTGCCACCGGTCATATCCTGCCATTTTCTTGTCTGCATTAAATGGATTTTTTCTTCCTGAGTGTGCAATAATTGAATATGCAAGCTTACATACATCTGATATTGTCAAACCAAACCCGCGTTCCTCCATCTCCAAAATGTGACTAACAAGAGAGTTTTCTTCCTCTTTAGACAGAGTGGTTGGTTTTGATGCTGGAGACTCCAAATCCATTGTTGAAAGTCTCCTCGACAGGGTTGTTCTTGGAATGCCAAATATCTTAGAAGCCTTAAACTTGGTCATTTTCCCTGTTTTAACACACTGAACAGCTTTACTTAATGATTTCTTGTCCCATTTTCCTTGTTTGGGCACCCAGTCTTTTTTCTTTCTGGCCGTTTTACAATGTTTTCCGTTCCTGAAATTTAAAAAATTATTTTAGTTACATAAAAACCCAAAATCTCTGTGCAAGAAAATATTTACCATCAGAGATACTTTACTTTTTTTTTTTTAATTTAATTTGCAATTATTAAAATTTATGTTACAGAAAATCAATTTTTGTATTATTTTCATGATTAGAAATATCATTTAAAAATTAATTTGATACATAAAACTAAGATTTATACTGATACAATTCAAACTGAATATCTAAAGATTAAACCTGAGACTGCTGTTTAAATAACATTGTCACGGTTTTGCGCTGGCCACTTCCCCCAACAAACTGGGGTAAGTGGTCACAATATGACATTTTGACATTTTTAAATTAATCTTATCAATAATTCTAACCGAATAAATATTTATGTTTGCAAATTATTAATTTCAAGGAGTATGTTGCCATTCATTACATATTTTTTTATAGATCTTGAAATTTGTAATAAATCCATGAAGGACACTTGTAACGTAATTTTTTTTTTCATTATCACGTGACCTTTCTAAAGGGTAAACGTAAAAAGAAAGCTTACAATTTTCCCTTCCTCTTGAACAACAAAACATAATAATGTGTAAATTGATATAATATTTGAAAAACTAGTGTCTATTATTATCAAATATTAACGCCTCTCACGGATTGAACTTGAATATTTTATTATCAATACACATGCTTTCATTATGTTTGTTTACAGATTTTTCAAAGGGTAGCCATTTTTTATGTGAAGATTATATATTGTTTACAGGAATGATGCAATAAAAATAATATAAACTGCAAAAATACATCAATGTAAACACTCCAGACTTAAAACTGATGCTTCATTGTACAGATTGAAAACAAGTTCTTTTGCTTAAAGGCGAACAGTTTTTATTTAAACAATGGTTAATGTCTGCAGTATTTATGACAATACTAAGAAAATGGCTCTGTGCCGTTTACTTACGGATCGAGTCACAGTTTTCTCCTTTTTTCAATCGAAGTCGTTGACCTTGAATTTTCCCTGTCTTCGATGTTAACACATTTGCTTCCTCCTTTACAACGAGAGCTGAACAGGTTTGATAACTCTTGTTTGCTTTAATTTTTAAGCATTTTTTTAAAAAATGTGTCCACATACCCCAAGTGTCCACTTACCCAATAAGAGTTGTAATTATAATCCTTGAGTCAATGTTTTTAAAACATAAACAAACACTTCCAAGGACAATTTTCGTAGGTAAGTAACTATTTTCCCGAAAATAATTTTTAAAATTTGGAAGTACAACCCGAGATAATCAAGTAATTCATGCAATTTATTATGAAATTGATCCCTTTAAGGTATAACAGACTAATTCTATAAAACAAGTAATTCATTGATCAATGAATTTATTTTGTCGAGTACACTCTTCACATCTTTTAGACTGACAAAGAAGGGTTTCATTTTGTTGTCCTTGAAATTAACCATAGTTATCCCTTTTTTGTGAAATCTGGAAAAAAGAAAAACGAATATTCGAATCGTAAATTCTTATTCGAATATCAAATCATCGAATGAATATTTGAATAATCGAATATTCATTGACATCCCTACTAACAACTGATATGAAATACATCAGCCAATATACGTACGGCAAAGTGGCAGTAGGTGATAGGTTATATTGCTACAGATCATTGTAACAATCATAGAATAGATTCTCTATTGTGAACCCACCCTTCCCCAGACAGAGGCCAAAATTTGAATAAAATTGAATCTACATTTTGTCAGGAGGCTTTCTTCTTCTCTGGCCTATATTGGTTCTTGAGAAGAAGAAAAAATTATGACAATCCTATTTCGCCTTTTCTTTATCCTTAAGGGCGTGGTCCTTCATTCGAATAAACTTGAATCTCCTTTTACCGAGATACCTTGTGACATTTTTGATTTAAATTGACCAAGCGGCTCTTGAGAGGATAAGAATATGAAATTTTTAGACGACAGACGGGCGAAGGACAGAAAGCACACAGCTGTAGGTGTGAGCGGTCGACAGGGGATGCTTTCTTCTATATAGGTACCTTATCCAACCACTGGTGTTTCAAGGGGTCTGTGTTTTTTGCCCTGTTCACGTTTCATATTGTTTAAAGAATTAATGAGATTGATAAGCATCTGTTGTTATTAATTAAGTGCTGAATTGATGTGCACAATAATTGAATTGTTGCTCTCTTCAAATGTATTTATAATATACATGTATATATCAGATACAAATGATACATTATCAATTATTTACGCTCAGTATATTTTTCTTCGTTGAAATCCATTGGAAATCTAGAACATTCAAACTGCCTATGAAAGCCCGCTAAAATTTGTTACGGCGCAAGGACACACAAGGGAACTACATGTACTTACACCTTTGAAACATTAGGAAAACCATAATGTATAATTGATTTGCTCAATTAAGTTGAAAACAACTCCCTTTTAAAGGATTGTAAGAATAAAACAATTTTACTTTCAGAAAAAATATTTGTTATTTTCCCCCCTCCCAATATTCTTTGTGTTATTTAACTCTCCCTGTCGACTCTTTATCCTCTAAACAATTCTGAAATTTATAATAAAACATTATAAAGAGAAAAAGTTAAGGAATGTTAATATAAGCTCCGAATAATTATTTTGTCGTCGGACGGATAACAGCACCTGTTCGTGCCCACAGATTATCAAACCACGCTATATTAACGCTCGGTATTCATTTTGTGGGTACGGCCAGATGCTGCGATATGTCCGTAGACATCCAAAAATAATTATTCGATGCTTGATTAAAATCACTGCTCGCAATAATTCGATTGAAGAGAGCAGAAAATTCAATTTTTGCGCTCAATAACATAATTATTTTTCTCTTCAATGGAATTAATAACTATATAATGATATCTTTATAATATCCATAATTCAAATAATGATCTCTTTGATTGAATTGCTGCTTTCTTTGAAAGAATTAATGTGCGCATTAACATCTGTAACAAAACTGATGTAAAATGATTAACGATTTCTTTAATTGAATTAGAGATCAACAAATCATTTATACCACGTTCATACCCAATTGTTGAAACCAACCATTGATTCGATGCGCGTCTCAAATCAATTGTAGCTCTCACCAATTAAATATTGATTTGCGCATTAGTTCGTATGAATTTGATGGATGTGCGTATCACATATCACTTATTGCTCTTACTATTTCAGTGATTCGCGCATTAAAGCAACTGATGAGAGCAATGATTGGTTATATGCACATTGATTCATTTATTGCGCGCAAAAATTGAATTGAAGATATCTTCAAAATTACTGAAGATATTTTCAATTACATGTATTCGTGTTTATGTTAATTTAACGCTCCATACAAATTCACACTGAATTAGCTCGATTCTATAGATTCGTAAATGTTCGAGTGGAAATTATTATCGCGTGATTTCGCAAGAAACACCTCTCAAGAACAAAATTTATTCGCTTTTATTTTTATATCGCCGAAATACACGTAAAAAAACAGTCCACACGCGAATACATTCCCTCACAATTTGACATCTACCAGTCATTTCGTGGTATAAAGAACTCGCCTAAAATAAGTAATCTACAGTTTTCGAATCATACTAAGACTACCTGGGTTAACTCGGGTAGTCAAATCGAAGAAGGCATAAAACTGCCACATGCAACAGCATTTAACTTTAAAAAAAAAAAAGAGGAGACTTTTATGTAGACAAGGTTGATGGATCGGAATTGAGGTTAACTCCTAGAACACACTTCTTTTCGGAATGAGGTCACTTAAAATTTGAAATATTTCTAACTTGGCTTCATATTTTTCATTTCAAACAGAATTTTCTTGAAGTCTAGTTGAAAGGGTTCTTTCACGGCGTTTATATACTTTAGATATGGGCCGAGCGCAGCGAGTGATCGGGTGTGACCAGAAATTGGATGTTAAGTTCAAAATGAAGACGTCAAGGTTGGTTTTGTCATTATAGAGTAAAAGAAATATACAATGTATCTGTTATTTTTAGGTAAAAAGTGAAAATCATAACGTAATGGCCAGACAAACTTGGTTCAACACAAAACTGGCCATCAGTGTGTCATCATTCTATTATTTTTGTGTTTCAGTATGTATATCTGGTATTTCATTGAAAAATGTCTTTTTAGAATTAAACAGTTATCAAAAGGTTTTTACTAGCTCTTTTTCTTGAATATACATTATTAGATGAAGAATTGTTTGTAGTTGCGAACAAATCATCCATTCGACCTTTTATAATAAAATTTCATAACTAATATCAGATTTGAGTTGAATAATTTCCATTCGACAGTCCAGATTTCTTTGCCATACAAACTTACTCTTACTACCTCATAAAATAAAAATATAGTCAAACAATAATCGTTGCAAACAAATGTGTGGAAATGAAACTTTATTCGTGTTATATACATGGTACAGCTATATTTACTGAAGTATTCTTATGCTGAGACAACATGAGTTGAAGTTGTAAGTACTAAGTACTGATTTGAATATACACATGAACCAGCATGATGTAAAACCTCTCAGATTCTGAGTCATTTAAAAAAGTTATTTTAGTTTCTTCTGATTTAGACTACACTTTCTGCTGTGAGGCTGTTCGGGGCTGAATTGGACTGGCTGTTTACAGAGGCATTTTTACCACGATAGAGTTTCGATCTGCATCTGACGTACATCACACGAATTGTTTGCTTGAACTTCTGATTCATGAATCCATACATGATAGGATTCACTGCTGAATTCGTGAACCCAATGATTTGGACAACGAGACTCACCATACGGAAGTCTTCATAGTCTACATTATTGTACATACGGTATATATGAACTGCGAAAAACGGAAGCCAACATATGAGAAAAACAAGAACTATGACGATCAACATTTTAATGATCCTCTTCTTTTGTTGCATTGATTTTTCCAGATCATGGGAGTCCCCTATTGGTTTTCTAATCCACAACTGATGGGCGATATTTCCATACGCAAAGAACATAACTCCAATAGGAACACAGAAGAAGATGACGAACTGTACCAGAGTATGGACTTCTTCCATTTCCATCTTTTCGTAGTGCTCCACGCAAACTTCCACTACTTTCAGGTACGGTGGCCCGTTTAAATGTTGTAGACGTTCTGCGATCTTCTGAACGAAAAGGAATGGTGAGGACACCGCTAGTGCTAATATCCACACGACAAACATTAACACTAACACGCGAGTGTTCGACTTCAGGTATCTGATCTTCAGCGGATGACAAATGGCATAGTACCTGAAATAGAAATTTTGTTCATTCAAAAGAAGAATTTTTGCACAAATTCGAGTTTCTTAAATTTTCCAAAAGTGTTGTATGAGCTACAGTTCAAATTAACTCTCATAAAAATGAATTTTAAAAAGAATGTACAAGAGCTTCCAGACCATAAATGCTTGTGTTGAATTTTGAGAGAAAAAAAACATTATGTTTTTTTTTCTTTAAGGGTAAAAAGATATAATTAAAAGATGGTCATCATACATGTATTTTCATATAGGCCTTGAAGTATGAGTTTAACAAGTAAGCAATTTTTTAAAAGTCTCATTAAGTTTACAGGATGACATTTCCAACATTCTTTTTTCTAGATGTGTTCCTTTGTATGAATTTTACGTCGGTGATATAACAATCACAAGAAGAAAATCTAAGAAATGATCATGAAAATTTCATAGTTTTTGTAAGGGCCCAAAGAACTTTTACTCTTCGGATATTTGTAAATTTCTTTGACACAGGAACGCTATTTACAGTCATTCTACAAAAACATGTTCAAATAAGAATTTTTTATGTCGCCTACAAATTTACCGTTGTAATTTCTTAACTATAATAAATTTTAAAGATCAATTTCAACTCAAATACTTAACATAAACACATTGTTTTGTAAATATTTACTGATATATATACAGTTAAAGTTTTGATATGAACACAATGTATTGTTGAAAAACGTATTCCACTGCAAATCTTAATGTCGCTTCATTTCAAGGTGGAATTTTCGGCCGTATAAGCGTTCGAATAGATTGCAATGAATGTTAAAAAAGTTTTTTTCCCTATATAAAAAGAAAACAAACCACTTCTCGCAAAGAAAGGCATTGCTCTTCTTTTATATGAAATCATAGCATGGTCGCTGAAAATCAATTGACTTCCGTAAAGATTTTGTCTTAAATTGCAAGCATGGAATGCAGATTTCAAAAAGAATATATTATCGATGCTAGTTGCGAGTCAGCTATTTTAGACCGTTACATTTCCGACATAATAAAATAAATTAGACAAATGCAGTTGTCTCTCTTAAAAAAAATATCTTCCGTAACGGTAATTCAGGATTTTTTTTTGCATTAAAAGTATAGAAAAAATTTATTATTTTGGGAGCGAAATACTTCATACTTTTGTTTAACATCTTAAAACAAACGTTAATTTTAAATATTGCCGAGAATTTTATCTTTTATTGCTGGAAATTAACTTCCGTAACGATATTTTTCCCGAAATTTTAACTTAATATCGGATTCATGCGAGTCTTCTTGAATCATAGTTTAGCATTCTATACTGAACATCAGAAAACAAAAAATGGTCAAAGTCAGTTTTATTTAAAAAATAAAAAGTCTTGTTCATGCATTAACTTCCGTGACATTACCTTAAATTCAATGGTATATTGAAATTGTTGTAAAAAGTTAACGATACCAGATTTGTGGACAATTCTTTTTTTTTTCAAGTTCACTGATATGTCCTTTAGAGAATATTGATGTTGATTTTGCTATTTGAAACAATATTATTTTTTTCATTTTTTTATACCATAAATTGGTCCTTTTATCGTATAATGACTGTTTAACGTTCACATGCAATAGTCTCCAAATTTAATTACCATTAAAACAATTTCTCTGGCCATCTAGTATCACATGGATTTATTGATAAGATGGGCTAACTAGGCAAGAAAATTACCATGGTGTGAATGAAGAAGCATGCACACACCAAATAGGACAAAAATAATATTCTTCATATAATTACACAATTTTTCCCCATGAGTGGGTCTTCACTGCATTTCTTGAAAGTATATCTTCAATGTATGCGCATCGTCGCAAGCCACGGGTTTAATGTCCATTCTATTTCTATAATAGGATGGACACAATACCCGTATAGCTCGCGACGATGAAGTATTCGTAAAAATATACATTTTTCAATTAACAAAACCATGGAGAAAAGACCCACTATACCTTAAAAATCTACGTTCATAACATATCATTCGTATCATTCCGAGATATAGTTGGTCCATTAATTCAATGGTCATATCTCAAGCAAGATTAAAATGTCACTACCTGTGATGAGTTGTGTGGTGTAGTGATTCTGAAGAAAATACTGATACTGGAACTTTTATGGCTTGGGTTCAAACCCAAAGAATACTATATATTTTTGAAAAGTATAGACTAATTTTTGTCGACAGAATTTTCCGCATAAAAGTTTTATTTGTCATAATTTTATATCTTTCAATAATAAGAAATTTGCTCTAAATACATGTATTTAGTTCACATATTGAAAATGATTTTTTTTACACACATGAAGCTACAGGCATTTCCCACGCAAAATTCGCCCATCTTCTTTACTTCGTTCTTCTCAAAATATATTATTTTTACACAGTCCAAAAGGCAGACTTTTTATGAACTTTAATTACAAAAGCATTAAAACATTAAAATAACAAGCACGGATAAAATAAATTATTGATTATTATTCAATGGTAATCTAAATACAATTATTGTTTTTGTGCCTATTTGATAATTATTCAGTGGAAATCTAAATACAATTATTGTATCTGTGCCTATTTGATTATTATTCAGAGGTTATCTAAGAACAATTATTGTATCTGTGCCTATATTTGATTAATTTTCAATGGTAATCTAAATAAATTACTGTATCTGTGTCTATTTGATTATTATTCAATGGTAATGTAAATAAAATTATTGTGTCTGTACCTAAATATATATATTTTTTATTAATATTTAATGGTATCCCAAATACAATTATTGTGTATTTGTGCCTATTTGATTGTTATTCAATTGTAATTTAACTACAATTATTGTATTTGTGCCTTTTTAATTCAATATTTAAAAGCATTATTTGGTTTTTGCTTTGGTGGCAAAAGAAACATAATCTTCTGAACCAGTTTACGTGCGTTTGTAACAGTAAGCCATTCTCTGTGTAATGTCGATTACCAGCATTCAACAGGTGAAATGTTTCTTCCCATCCCAATGTTTAGATTAAAGTAATTATGCATGGACAGACCGGAAATCCAATTGTTTACCACCTTAAGGCCAAGTCTGAAGAGTATTTGTTGAAACAGGATTGGAATTTAGATAAATTGTAGTTCGGGGCCAATTATTAATCTACGCAAGAAACGTAACAATACAAAATAATTTTACGAAAATTTGATTTCATTCACTTATTTTAGAAAATAAGTTATATATAATACACTTTCTTTATAATATCATTAGTTGTCATGAAATTTTCATTATTTCTTCTTTAAAAGTGTCTTGTATTTTATCAATAATTAAGAAGAAAATTCAACAAGTGTTACCATTGCCTTGTACTCGGTAAACGCCCTTTTTTCAATCATTGAGAGAACATCAGCGAAAATCAAACAAGCTCAGTCCAGCTGCGGCAAACTCCATTTTTGTTTGCCTATCAAGATGTGAGTACTGTTTTCAAGTTCATTGACGGCAAGAGATAACAATAAAGAAGCCCAGACTCTCCTAATCACCCTACTCCTAGACTTAATGCAACATCTTTGACGTTAATTTGAGCCTACTTCTGAGAGCACCCCGAAGGCGGGGGGACATAAAATATAAAATCAGTACAGATATTAAATCTGATGCAACCAATGTGTGTATAATAAAATTGAAATTGTATTCTTTACGTTAAACAGGACACGTTATGTTTTACTCGCTTGCTGTGCGATAAGCAGTAATTAAATTGTAGAATTTTGGCGTTTTACACATCTTATAAGAGTTGTAAACATATGCGTTTAATATCATATTGGTGACATGTAATGCCTTTAAACATTTTAATAGATCAACTGTACTTAGGACGAGATAAGGCAAGTTGTAAATGTTGGTTCTTGTATTTCGTTCGTATCAAAATACCGAATTAAATTTCCAGAAATTGTTAAATGAATTTATTTAACAAATACAGTGTATGTTTTCCCATATGAACTTACATTAGGTATATGTGTACATTTCTATACAAGTTCTGCAAGGAGCTCGTTTGCATAATGAATAAAAAATTGCGTATGTGGTAATTGTCTTGACGAAAGATTCATAAATCATAACTGATGCCTCACACCGATACATGAAATTTGAAGTAAAAATTTATTGAATAGCAAAAATCACTAGGTAACTAATTTTTCTTTTATTTTCTAGTATTTTATTTCTTCTCCATAATAAGTAATGACAAATTGAATTTCAATGATCTTTTAAACATCATTTTATGATTTTTTGATAATATGCCGATATATAAAATCTTTAATATAACAATTTTAGGTTACTAATTAAATATGAATCAAAAGGAGATTACCAGCCCGAATTCTGTTCTTTTTAAATTGCAGGCAAAAGAGAAAAAAATCAAGGACAAAAAACCCAAATAAACAAACATTTTTTGATTGCAAATGTGGGTATTGTCGGGAAAAATACATGGCAGACTGACTTACATCTTTTTGAACAGAACTCATTAGCCATTTAATGAATTTCCACACATTTTACGGATGAATTCTTTCAATTCATTCTGGATCACACATACTTTTCTTAAAATTTAAAGCACGAGAAACGAATTCTCTAAACTATCGCTTATCAACGTATGATTTAGTGTATTAACCTATTCAAGATCAGGAAACCCCGCTCTAAGATTTTGTCTTATCATAAACCACACACCGATTTGACGACTTTTCAATTTCAACCAATTACACTGGCATTTACGTATTATTAAGGAGGCTTTTTTGTAGATTATATTTGATTTAACAGCTTCAAATACACGGTCATATTCTATTTTGATAAATTAATCAGTCGAAAACTTAAATATAGAGAGGCAAAGAAAAGATAATGTAAAATGCTTAAGGGATAGAAAAAAAAGTTCAAAATACATCAATGGTCATTCAACACCCACAGCAAGAAAAATACAAGCAGGTTTAAAACAAGAATAAGGTTTGAATTAAATTTAGCTTTTCACTATCTGTGTAATCTTAAAGCAAATGACTGTGCTTGTTAAACTCAATTTGGTTTTGATACTTCTGAGAAGAAGGGGAAAAAACACTTCACCCCACCAAGAAAATCTTTTAGAACTATGAATCAATAGCTTTAACTACAGTTACAGTTATAAACAGTTGAATGAATAAGAAAGGTCTTAGGCGAAGAATTACTACTCATATACTGTACAGTCTTTACAACATCAGCTAATGATGGTTTTACCAGTATTGATACAGTTAACCTTTGGAATGGTCTCTTATTTAAACCTTTCACAGGAGGGGATGGGGGTAGTTATTTACTAAGGAATAATTGTATCGTACTACTATATTTTCATTGCAATATTATTTTGAGCATTATTACGAGAACTTTCGCAAATAAATGACAATCAGTTCTTCTTATATGAGTGCATAAAGCAGTTGCATATTAACTATTTCAATTGTTTCGTTTTCTTTGACATTGGTGTGAGGCATTTCTAAATAGCAGTTTATTTGAACTTCCAGTTAAAAATGATTGAATACTTTTGCATTTATATTACAAAGGTTTCATGTTTAAAATTTTGGTAAATATTTAAAAACCTTACAGTATACTGTAAATTGGTTTAAAAAGTTTATTCCATTGTGAAATTTTAACTAATAGGTGATATACACTCAAACTTTACAAAATTTTCATCCTGAGAATATATATATATATATATATATATATATATATATATATATATATATATATATATATATATATATATATATATATATATATAAATACCATGACCAATAAATTGAAATTTGGAAACATTTTTGCTTGAAGTCTTTGATTCATTCAAGGTGGCTAAGTACGAAACTGAATTTCGAATTCCAATGATCTGACTATAGTATTATCAATATCTCATATTTATAGATCCCGACACATCAAACTCTATTAAAGTCTTATTTATAGCTGTTTGTGCCAGATTCTGTGGTTACCTTTGGTAGAGCATACCTTCCTTACAAAAATAATTCAGATTGTATCAGTTTAGATTTCACAGTTTTAAAATATAGAAAGGAATATTTTTGTAATAACATCAAGAGAATAGAAGCTTATCGGTATTCAAAGATCTCCAAATTGCTGAATTGATTTTTGGCTATTAGTTCAAGCCTGTAGCATGCTTTACAACCAAAAAATCTCTATGCATTACGTTTATGATTATAATGGTCACAAAAATGGTTCCTTGCAATTTGATATTTTGTTTGAATGAGAATAGTTATAATTTAGGGACAGATGTCCGCCTTTTTTGGAACTTCGAAATCTGCAAATAAAATGTCCTGAAGTGTAATTGCTAACTTAGTCAATCAAGGTGCAATTTATTTGTCTATTCATATAAGATACATCTATGTCTTGAAAATCTTTTAAACTGAATGTACATAATTGCAAATATTCCTGAGAATAGGACAATTGACACTCTCTGCAACGTGTCGGCATTGCTACATGTAGTCTACAGTGACTTCCCATATTTGTATAATGTCACAATATGTGATGTATACAAGATGTATAAAGTCGCAATATCATAATTCAAAAATAATATAATGAATGAACTTTTATTTAGAATTGGAAAAATATCCAGTAATGTTCCTCCCATGTAAGAAGTATAAGAAAATGTAGTGTATTCTAATACTATTATTAAAAATTTCCTTTTTAAAAAAAAAAAAAAAAAAAAAAAAGCCATGACGTACAATTGACCTGCAATTTGTTCATATTTACATATGATATATTAATCCCCCCCCCCCCTAAACCATATAATTGCATATTTAATTTTTTGTACATGTATATACTCTTCAATATTGTACAGCTTGAAAACATTAAATGAACATAGAGATGCTCTTTTCAAACAATTTTACTGTAAAAATATAACAGCACTCACCTTTCTAGTGCCACGACTGTGAGTGTCATTATGCTAGCTACCACATTCACACTGGTCGCGAAGGATATCGTTTTACATAGGGCTTCTCCAAATGTCCACACCGTATTAAAAGTGTACAGTAAATTTACTGGGATGTTAAACCCGGCAATAAGTATGTCGCTGATGGCGAGACTGATAAAAAACATATTTGTAACGTTCCGAAGCGATTTGTTTCCAAGAATAACGACAATGACCAAAGTGTTTCCAGACAATGCAAAAGCCATAATTATGGCATATAATACTGTAAAGATGGTTTCGATGTGATATGGTAAAGGCATAGGTACGAAGTCGTTTGGATTTGGAATGATGTTGTCATGGGAAGGTGGATACGGGTAGTTGTAGTAGTCCGTTGTATTATTCATCTTTGCAAATCCAAAGAATTTCCCAAACAGAACCGGAAGACGTCTGATGTGAATGGTTCGCTCTTCAAGAGTCGTCTGGCAAAATTATGCGATTTTTATAGAAAAAATAATACAGCAGATGTATATTATCTGGTCTCATCTAAATTATTGGTAGAGGAGTAACCGAGCTGTTTATATATGAAACTTTGTTACTCACAGACTCTATCTAAGGTTACTTGCCAGTCCGATAACCGCTGATATCACCAGTCGTTAAAAATCCCCCTATCACACATGCAAAAAATCCAAGCAGTGTCGTGCAAGAATTCCTTATTAAAGATACTAGTCATTTTCAAATTTGAGAGGAAAAAGATGAGGCACTCAATGAGTTTTGACATGAGATTAACACAAATCACGCGACAAAAACAGAACGGTGTGCGATAACGGTTGGGTAAATACCGTTAATAAGCTGGTTTCCGCTAACTATCTCATAGTGATGTCAGATTAAAGGGGTCGTGCGGATTGTTTAAAGTTAATTAGGAAAGCTGTTTGGTTTAAGTATCGGACCATTTTTCGAAAGCAAAAAAGATTTTGCAGAAATATGTATTTGTTCTTTAAACAACTATTGATAAAAAATTAAAGACATTTTATGAATTACATTTCAAATATCTTTTGGGTTTTTTTTTGGGGGGGGGGGGGTTAAAGATCCTTACAAATATCTATCATTTATATTTCCCTTTTCTTCAATAAATATTTTACTGCATCAATAAAAGGGTTATATAGTACCTGTATGGGTAAAGAATTTCTTATTGCACAATTCTAGTACAATTATGGGTTAAGTAATTTGATAAACGGACAGAAAAAGATTAATGAGTAACTTTTTAACCTTTTCATGATAATTCTTCAAATGATTGTAGAAATTTACAAATAAAAATTAGAACACTGAAAACAAAGAAGATTGAATATCATAGTTTATGATAAAAAATTAAGTGGAAGTAAAATAATAAATGCCCTATGAAAAAGAAATCTTTCTGCAAACATACACTGAATAGCATATTATTGCTTTACTTACGAACGAGGGGCTCATGTTAAAGTTTGTTTTTTTTTAAAGTGAACTTATTATTGATGGGAATTTAGGAGAAGGTACAACATCAGATAGAAGGAGGAAATGAAGGGTGGGATTATAAAGAATAAAAACAACAGAGAGGTCATCGATATTTTAACATTTTGTTGATTAAAATAATATGCGATTAAGAATTTTATCAAACATTCACAGGATTTGGGAGGGATCTTGGAGGAAGTAATTTCATTGCAGATGTTTCTGTGTGAACACCCTTGAATACTGTACAATTGCCGGCTTCGATCATAGTAACGAATCGTCTGTCCACACTTAATAATTAGCAATGAAACAAATTGTTTTACGAAGAGCACAGGCAAGTGGAGAGGCAAATGTACAGGTGTTTGTTTCTCCTAAACAAACGATAGAATGTTGGTAACAAAGCAGGTACAGAAGCTTGATTTATTTAGCGATTGAATTGAGTCTTTTATATTCTCAGTATCCAAGTTTTCTGCTGATGACGTAGTGAAAAAGCTTCAATATGGTTACATTTTTAAATGGATATCTAAATGTTCAAGGTTCAATACAAGACATCTTGTGGATGAATTATTATCGATATCCTATAATCTCACGTCATTAAAATATTCTCAATCGTAAGAGTGTTTGGTTTTTCTTAATACAGAGGAGTACAGTTGCATCATCCTGAAAGAAAATGTTGCATCATATGTTTTCTCATTTAATCATAACATCATACTTCTCTTTAACTTGTTTGGTATGAATGCTACCTGTGAAGATCGACAACGAGCGGATTACAATCAAGAGATTTTTTTATTTTTTCTGAAGTGCGCGCAATGATTTGGGTTGTGATTAAAGCGAGCAAGCCTCTGTCACAAATTAAAAAAAAATAGAAAGAAAGCTGCAAAATGTAATGAAAAACCAGCAAAATCTTTGAACATTTTTTTATGAATCATACCCTGAATACTCTAAATATAAAAATACTGAGCTGTTGCATAATATTCTAAGTAAGATTAAAGAAACATTGATAGTATAAGATTATTTCTTTTCTGTATAAAATTTATTTATTTATTTTTTAAAATGAGGATCGTGTTGTATTAGAATAACTTCATGCAGTAAATTTGCATTGCTGCATAAAGGTAGTATGGAGCATCCCCTTTTCAATGAAATGTTTACCTAAAATTAACATTCCTTATCATAAAAATCAATGTTATAATGAAGTTATTCGATCACTTATTTTTCATGTTGAATTATTTGCTATGAAATATATGGAGACAACGAACAGCACCCAAGCCCAAAAGCCCACTAAACATTACAAAATAGGTGCAGAGCAAACACGGACCCCCAAAACATCAGAGGTGGGATCAGGCGCCATGGAGGAGCGAGCATTCCCCGCCGACCGGCCACACCCGCCGTGTGCTCCTTGTCATGATCGGGAAATAACGGGAAAATCCGTCGACAATTCAGTGTGTAAATAATGGCCTAACAATTAGTATGAAAAACTAATGAAAAATGCTATCAAAAATTAACAAATAGGAAAACAAAACTTTTTAAAATTATTATTTGTACCCTAATTACTAAAGATTATGAATATCAATATATTTCGGATGTTTTTCTATATAAATATATATATTTAATTTATTTATAACAAAATGCATAAAGATATAAGTTTATCCACTTTGGTTTTTGGTAGAAAATCATATACATTTGTGAAAAAATATCCCCCTAGAAAGATATTGATAGAAATGCTCCTTGGTAATTAAAACACATGAAAAAAATTAACTTTGACAGGAATCAGTTCTCCTTACCACTGTTAATTGACCGATTGGTGAATTCCTTTCATGTTGCGAAACGATTGGATCTTATCAAAAAATCTTCACATTATTAGCTTTATCTTGTGCTCGAACCCGATCGGAAAATTGTTCGCAGTCATATTGTCTTAAATGATTGATGGCTATTCTGTATCATAACCATTAAGATCCACCTTAAAGTTGTAAATTTAAATGTTTTGTTGATTCTGTTTTGTTGTAAATCAAAAAACGTAAGGGAATTAAATTTCTAGGATTAGAATTTTCTCTTAAATGCAATGATAAGACGATGAAATAGCAACAAGCTTGCAAAATTTTTTTTACAGCATACTTGTGTTCTTTATGTTAGACTTGAGGCATTGTTACTTATAGCACATGGCTGAATAGCATATGGATGATCAACTTTGAATAAAATAAGACAATCACATGGTAACCTTAATTTCTCAACTCCTCTTTTTTCTTTCTCTATCCAAACTTTTAGCTTTGTTTTTAACATTCTTGGAAGCGGTAGCCAAACTAACAAAAGCGATTCAATAATAATTTCAAAAGTAACAAGAAGTTAATTGCAGCTCTTTACTGAAGAAAGAAGCTTATTGCTGCAGTTGTTAGAAGTGCACTAGATTTTTCTTGATGATTGTTTATATGGTGGACACGTGTTTTCTTTTGATACAAAGAATATTTACATGGATTTATCTTTGTGAATGAAATTGTATATTACGATTCTAGGAATACTCGTAAGGCAGTGTTATTCCAAGGCCGTACCTATTTGCTTTCAGAATATGATGATAATCCCTTTTAATACCGACTTCAAATCTGGAATGTATGCAGACGTTATCCAATATTTTAAATACAAGATAATTGAAATTTATTATCTATCCGTTGGTTTTAAGTGATACGTTTTAAGAGTGATTAAAAAATTAGAAAGACTACATGAAATATATGTTATGGTTCCAGCTGACAATTCTTCAAAATCATGTTTCAGTTTTAAATACTTTTAACATTACAAAGGAAATTAATTTGATTTCATATCTAAACGGGATTCTAAAACTTTATCAAAATCCATACAAACAAAAATATATTACAGGGTCCAGTAAATCCTCAACTAAGCCCTTATCCTTACTCCTCACCAAAATATTAAATGCTGTGCAGGAGGAACTAAAGGCATACTGTGCTACAGCAAATTCAAGAAGTGGTGTAAATCTAAGTGTATTCTCAAAAAATCCGAAGGCCTTTTAGAAAATTTAGAATCGCTGAACCTTTTCGAAAATCAGTAGCATCAAAACATATGACATTTCAATGCTTTATACAAACATTCCTCACGATAAACTAAAGAACAAGCTTTTTGACATCATAAAAAACTGCTTCTTCAATAAAAATGAAACACGGAAATTTTCATATCTCGTGATTGTCATGTATACAAAATTACTTTTCTGAAATTTAAATTTTAAACTACTTATTAAATATTATTCTGATTCTACCATATGCAGGCGCTTGTGGAATATAATTATATTAATAGGGAAAGTTGACGATGGAAAAATTGAAGTCATCCGTTTGTCATTCTCATTTGATTGTGCAATATTAATGGGATTTAATAAATACCCCTTCATTCTAAATATTGTTAAAAGTAAGAAAAATCCACTTTATCCTTTAACCAGTCACAATTAAGCTCAACTACGCATAACTTTTCTTGAATATCACTCTAAAGTACTCAAAATGTAAACGAAATCAGAGACATAAAAACCATATCTACATGTATGTCTCTGACGAAATGTACTCATTTTTTAAATGAAATTTTCATGAAAATGCGAAAAAAGTTATATTTGTATGAGCTTACCATAACCAAGAACTTAGCTTGCTTGCCAATCAAATAAAATATTGTTTTCATTGTTACAGTTCATTTTTGAATCTCGTATTTAAAGTTTCAATTTAATGTCTAGATATCTAAATAATAATGATTTTATTTATCGCATATGCATGCACATTCGACTACATTTTCGTTTCGCACATCTATCCGACATGCCTGTATATCCTAAAAACTGTTTCATCGGATGTGTAGTCTCTGAGAACACTTAGCGACAAAAAATTACCGGAGAAGAAAAAAAGACTCAGGAAACATACAATATGCTAAGTTCCTTACTGGCAAAATCTGTAGTCATTGGAGACCAGGTCTTCCAAAAATCTGTTGGAATTCACATGGGTATTAATTCTAATAAATAACAGAAGCACAGGGTCCCACAAATATGTTTCATATTTGGATGTTTTATAAGAGAAAGATATGGATGAAAACTTAAACTAAACTTTATGATAAACGTGATGAATTCAACTTTTCTATCTTCAACTTTTCTTTTTTATTAGCACCATTTTCATCTGCATGTGGAGTTTATGTATCCTAGTTGATTCGATAGGCCTGAGCACG